AATGAGAATTAAATAAAAAATTAAATCAAAGTTAATTTCCACTTAAATGAATCTGGTGAAACTGCCTGTGAGTGTGGTTATTCTGATTTAACTTTTATTTAAGTGAAGAGCATAGGTCACTTAAATCAAAATTAAAATTGATTGGTGAAACCAAAAAATCAAAAATTACAGTAATTTTCACTTAAATGAATTTGGTGAAACTGGCTGTAAATAACTCACCAAGCATTGAATTCCAATTATTTTGACTTTTTGATTTCCCAAAAGCACTCAATTTAGTGCAAATTGCACGACCTTGGCAACAGTGAGCTGAGCACATCCATGCTCAAACAGTGATGCCAGACAAAGTATTGAGTAAATGCACTATGCATATTTTTCTTTTAAAGCAAAAGTTCTAATTGGTGAGGGGATTGATTTTTGGTTCTTACATAGAACACTGATAAGATTCACAAACTTATATTAGGACTTAATTAATACAATCAACATTATTTGTAGACGAATATATTTGTGTTCGTATGAAATAGTAGCATATGTCGGGAGACTGGCTTTAGTAAAATGTACCATTCCCTATATTCTTTAAACCACAAGGAATTTTTTTATGAGACTTCATACGAATATTGAATTGCTAGCATCGCAACTGTCTCTTTTACATTATACTAAAGCCAGTCTTCCAACATATACCTTGTTTATACCTACGCAAGAACCGCATTAACAAAAAGCTGATTTGACTCAACACATATTTCTTTCAAGTATTTATGCATCGGTCTTTATTGCGCACTCGATGAAGCCGTATTTAAAAGCAAACCAAATCTGCCGTTTTTATACGACATTTCTTTAATAACTAACTTGCGCGGTTGACCGAAATGGAAGCAAACAATAGGTGTGTTCTCGTACGCCCAACTATCTAAAGTTTTAGAAAACTTTTACTGGTTTTGCGTTCTCGTACCCAAAAAACTTGCAAAGTAGGGGAAATTGAGAGAGCGAAATGTGAAAGAGAGCTGCAAATTTCTGCTGGAAAAATATTTCCCAGCTAAAACTTGCAAGTAAGAAAATCAGCTGATCACAAACACATGTTTGTAAATAAACAAAAGAAAATATGGCCTTTTTGAGTTATTTATTGCAAATTTTATTATTAATGCTAGTATACAACTAAAAAGTGAGTAAATTGAATATGCACAACGTTTGTTGTGTTTATTTTTCGCTAATTTGCTATTAATCTCCAGTTTGTTTACTTAAGTGTGTGCTGACTATGGTTGCCGTATGACATTTTTCGTTTTTACCATAATTTACCTTTAAATATACCAAAATAGATTTAAATGCAGCATGCTGAAATGTTGTTTTGCTGAAGTTTTCGGTTTTGGTAGGTTGATTGTTGAAATGAAAATTTTATAATTTTAAACCTACTCTATTACATTTTTTTGGATCAATGATGGGTGTTTGGAGGAGATACTATGGTTTTTAATGCGTCACCATGTGATATCAAAAATAATTATGAGAAAAATAACTTATTCATTCCGATATAATTAAATCGTATTTTAAAAAGGCTGCTAAATTCTCAGAACTTTTGCTGCTGGAGAATTTTGTCCTCTCAATACGAGTACACACCTAATAATTCGAATTTATTATAACAATAATTCAAATTTAAAAGTGGATGTATAAAGAAAGCCAGAATTTGTTCACTTCGCGTCAAATGAATGATACGTTTATACCTGTTTTCTAACCGATGTGAGAATTAAAAAACCGATTTGAAAACAAATTCGAGTCAATACACTTTTGAGTTTCTGAGCGTATTGAAATTTGGTTTATGCATACGTTTTGAATCACGGCGAAGTGGGTTAAAGCGCTTTATGTGTCGGTATAAACAAGCTAATAAGCTACTATTCTATACGAACACAGATATGTATACTTCCCAATAGGCTTGTAAAATGCACAATTCCCAAATCCCTCGCATGAGCTATTATCGGTAAAAATTTGGATACGCTTAAATCTGGCATCGCTGCAGCAAATACTTTGTCACGCATGTAAAACAGTGTTGATGTTTTAAGTACAATTGTACTTTTTTCAGTACAATTAATTTTAAAAAGTACAAAAGTACAATTGCCGATTTCAGGTACCATTTCAACCTCAAAAATACTTTTTGTACCAAACGTTCAAATCCCTTCTAGCACTTCGATTCTTAATCCGTTTACATTTAAGTAAATGGATATACCTATATTTCATATTTGCTTAAAATTTATGAAATTATGAATTGTAATTTTGAATGTAAAAGTGGTTGTAAACAGTAATATTAGTGATGTGCGTTATGGTGATTGCGATTTCTTATCACCGGCGGGTGAAATATCCCTTATCGCTATTTATTTTGAAAAAATCTTTGGAAATGCAATTTACCCAATAGCGATCCTGCAGAAATAGAAGTAATTGAGCAATTCGGTGGTTGAAAGTAAAAAATGTATGTAAATTCCATGCGTTGAAATTAAAAATTTCCATTGAGGATTTCCATTGATCTCATTTTATGTAATTTATTTTCATTAATATGAACTGACCTGTATAGTGTATTAATGTTTTATCATTATTGTCTTCATCTTTGACAAAATTACACGGTCACCTTGTATTTTTTTATGTTTTTTTAATAATTTTAAATATTTTTTTATGAAATGGTAGCACATTGTCTAACAAAAACCTTGCAAATAAATCCAAACTTGAAAGATTGAAAAAAATCAACAAAGTTTCATCACAGTTTTTGTTCAGAATTTGTAGACATGTTTTGGGTTAACATTTCTGTAGCCCATTCATTCTAGTATAATAAGGAGCAAGTTTGAAGTGTCTAAAAAATACCATTGATTTTTTGAATTTTTCTGTTTGCGGTGTTGCGCACTTTCTTCCATTATAACGAATGTTCGCATTTTATTTTATATGGATGAAAATGCGCGTGTTGCGTTGCTGTTTTTTATTTCAATATTTTAAATTAAGCTTTATTTGTATAGTTTTTGTTAGACAATGATAAATAATATAATAAATAGCCCAAACCAGGTGTCCGTAGCATTTTGTCGCGGGGTGTACTTTTAAAAATGTGAAATATAATTCAAGAATTTATTTGTGTATAATTTAAATTAAACTCTAAGCTGAATGAAACTTATTTTAAATTAGTGGGACTTTCTGACAAGCCAGGCTATGACTTTATAGGCTAGCTGAAGAGATTTCAATGATAAGTTACGTTAAATTAAGCCTACACTAACTGAAGCTGTACAATGAATTGAACAATAAACACACTGCAGTAGACAACAAAATTGTTTTTGTTTGGTTGCGGGAAAATGGAGGTAATGCATTGACGGAAATGGTGAAAAGTTCAATTAAGCTCAAAAAGTTACACTTTGGGTGCATTCCAAAACGTCAAAATACAAAGCATCAGTCCCTTTTATTTCTAAACCGCACTAGAAGAGGTTTATAAATAAAAGAGACTGATGCTTTGTATTTTGACGATTTGGAATGCACCCTTTTTGTCATTAATTTGTTACAATTTAAAAATTTTAAATATCAACACTGATGTGAATGTATGTCAGCGATGGGCTCACGCACCAGTGTTGCCAGTTGAAATTTTGAGGCTAGATCTAGCTTTTTTCTATGTCGTTTAGCTTCGAAATTTTGGATTTATGTATCTTCGTGGCTTTTTTCTAGCCTTTTCTTATTTTCAAACTAGCAAGGACAATCTTCCACAATATTTGTAGTAGAATGTAGAATTTACTCAGCGGATTCGTTCTGTTTATACTTTAACCGTTTTTTCAGTGGCTCTCAAGTGTCCCTATTAAACCAGGTAGTTAGTCGCCGCTGCTATGCCGTAGCCATTCAGGGCTCCTTAGCCCCTTCATCGCCTCTGCTATTGCGGGTGACTCAGGCGTGAAACTCTCGCCAGATATGTTGCGAAGTTTGTAGTCAAACAGTTTGTCAAATAGAAATCGACTTCGCCGTTTAGTCTGCTTCATTTGCGTGTATATAGGGTTTGCTCTTCACTATGCGCGCTGTAATTGAAACATTCGCGATTGTAATCGTATTGTAATGTATGAAGCTATTTGGTGGTACAAATATACCACTACTTTGTCTTTAAGGACTATGGGTTTTCAGACACTAAAAAAAGTCCGCTTTATTATTAAAATGGTTTTATTAAACAACTTTTATTAAATTCCATGATCGTAAGTACTTTGATTGTCAAAATATTTACTTTTTTGTTGCTCGGTGGTGCATTTGTACCACCTCGTTGTACATAAGAGCTAATGAAATGTTGAAAGGCTGGCCTTTTTTTAACCTTTTATTCTGGGCCATTTAGCTTTTTTTAGCTTTTTTATTTGTCCGATCTAACTTTTTTATTTTTTAAGTCCTGGCAACACTGTCACGCACACAACTACATTTTGCGAAAACAGCGAGAGCATTCAGTTGGCGTTAAATGATCGGTAAGTGAGGTTGTGCTGGCGTTTTTAAGAAAATGCTTGTTGACGGCAATAAAATCAATAAAAGCGCGATCACATCCTCACCGCATGAGTGTTCGACACCAACTGACGATATGCAGTTTTAATAGCCCTGCCAGATAGAGCACGTTACGTGCGTTCCGACGAAGCATTCAACTGACAAGGCGTACGAAACGCATAGGTACTCCACAATGAAAGCGTTGTCACATGTAAACAAGTCAGCTGTTTTGTACTGGCGGTAAATTTTTCTTTGAATACAAAATAAGTCTATATTTTTAGTTGGGCTAATATTTGTGAAGAAGATAAAAAAAATGGAAGTAATTCAAGTTATTTTAATATTGCTCATGTTGCTGGAAGCCAGAGAATGCTTCAACAGGCTTTATGGAGGCCGTAGATGGTGGGTGCGACCTCCCCTACAGAATCGGGACACTCACGGATTTTTCGCCACGAATTTTGGACTCAGGGAGGAATTTAAGAAAAATATAAGGATGGAAAAGCACATTTTTGAAATGCTTCTTAATTTTATTAAGGAAAGGATAACTAGAAACAATTCTAATAGGCCATCCATTTCTCCAGAATGTCGACTTTACTTGACCCTCTGGTAAGTTATTCATATAGTTATTTGGCTCACGGAGGAAGTAAACAGTTTTATGCTTCTTCCTTTAAAATTGGACTTTCCACAATGAAGGAAATAGTGGCAGAAACGTGCGATGCCTTGTGGGAGATATTTGGGCCAATTTATTTGTCGATTCCTAAGAAGGATGAGTGGAAGCGTATCGCTATCGATTTTAATTCCATGTGGAATTTACCCAATTGTATTGGTGCAATTGATGGCAAGCACATAAACATATTTTGCCCATCAAACTCAGGTTCCCTTTTTTATAATTATAAAGGGAACTATTCCATTGTTCTGCTGGCGGTGTGTGATGCGAATTATACTTTCACTTGCATTGATATTGGAGCTTACGGCTCGCACAGTGATGGTGGCGTTTTATGAAATTCTGGCTTTGGGAGACAGCTCTATAGTGGAAAACTGGATCTTCCTGAAAACGATGTGCTACCATACTCTGACATAACTTTTCCCCATTATTTTGTTGGAGATAATGCGTTCCCGTTAAAGCCATTTTTAATGAGGCCGTACCCAGGTTTGTATGAACAATTTAAAAATTAGTATTTTCTAATTAAACTCATTTACTCATTTTAGGAACCAACTTATCTCTGGAGAGGCAAATCGATGGAGAATCCTTTTAAATCCCTTACAAATGAGCCCTTTATCTGCCGAGAAAATTGTAAAGGCTACGGTTCTCCTTCACAATTTTCTTAAAATGCACGATGGTAGCTATTGCCCGCCGGAATATGTTGACCAGGAGGACGGCGACTCTATCAGAAGAGGATTGTGGCGGAGTGATATTTCGACCCCCTTGCAAAGAGCTAGGCGGATAGGTTCGAACAATGCGTCACAAAATGCGTTTAAGTTAAGAGATGATCTGAAGAGTTACCTTGTATCCCATCCAATTTAAAGGATGGCACAATAAAAAAAGGTGATTTATATTTTTTATCTAATGTGCGAAAATAGTTAACATATAATGCTATTTTTAGCCTCAACAGAACCAAGATGAGTTTGCCAAGCGGAGACGCAAAACATGATGGCATGCAATAACAAAAACAATACAAATCAAATATTCAAACAGTATACAAAATTACCGAAAGTTCAACGAATTTTCATTAAAAGTTTAAATTTTTTAATAGAAATGTCTGGTATGCAGTTTCATAGCCCATACAATTTCAGTATAATAATGTGCAAATTAGAAGTGGGTAAAGATTATCGAGTGTTGCGCATTTCCTACATGAACAAAATGAAAAAACTAAAAAATCAGCGGTAATCTTTAGCTAATTGAAACTTGCACTTTATTATACTAGAATGTAATAGGCTACAAAATTGCATAATTATTTTTTAATATTCTGATTAACAAGTTCCAAAATTTTGACGATTTTCTTTTTAATTTTTTTAATTATACATTTTGTACAAAGTTTTCAGCTTTTATTTATATGGCTTCTGTAGTAAACACAAACAAACAATATCATTTCGAATTTGGTCCAAAATGATATGACCTACACTGTATATGCATATTGTAATTTTGATATGAAAAGAATATGAAATAATAATAATAAATAATGTGAAATAATATGAAAATAAAAATTATAGCCGCACCACATATTGACATCACTCACTGTACACTGTACAGCCCCTGTACATTTAAGAATTTAAACAAAACTTATAACAATTTATTTTTTATAGTTATTTTATTTTTTAATTCAGTTTATAACTTCACATTTGGTTTTGTGCTTTCTCATTCAGTTCATAACATAACCTTTCATTGTATTACAAAAGCTCATGCACATATACAGTGCCGCGCAAAATTATTGAACTACAAAAAAAAATAAAATATCTAAACTTTGTACAAAGCTCAGGAAAATTTAATAAATTTGCATACATATTTGCAACTTTTAATCAGATTTTTTGCAAAAATTCTAAGTATGCAGTTTTATAGCTCATTCAATTTTATTTGCTAAGAAATTGCGTAGGTTTTTGCACTTTGTTATACCAAAATTGAATGGTCTATAAAACTGTATACTTAGAATTTTTGCAAAAAATCTGATTAAAAGTTGCAAATATGTATGCAAATTTATTAAATTTTACTGAGCTTTGTACAAAGTTTAGATATTTTATTTTTTTGTTTTTTGTTGTAGTCTGAACAGTATTTTATAAAAAATTTTCAAAAATAAAGAGTAAACAATTTTGCATACATTCAATAAATTTGCACCTTTCTAATCAGATGTTTTCGATAAATTCTCATTGTTCCTCAGTGCAATAAATTTCGCACACACAAAAAACTAAATTCATTTTGATTAAAATTCACTAACAGTAATTTCACTCTCAAAAAAGGAACTGAATTCATATTAATTATAGTTAAGCACTTTGTCCGCTATTAAATACAAAATTTATAATGTCAATTTTTAGACTATCTTGTACTTCTTCGGAATGTTTCAAGAGGTAGCTGTCCAAAACTTTTAAAAAATCTGCGTTTCGGCTTAGAGGCTTTGGGGTTGATTCGGACTTTTGAAGCCAGTCGCTTACAGCTCCATACAGTTTGTCAAGTCGATCCTCGTCACTCTTGCGCTTTGCTTGCTTACTCGTACTGGGGGTTTGCTCTTCTACGCAATGGGCTTCAAAGGAAGAAATTGGCGGTGACGATTCGGTAGCGATGGGCGAATCGAATTGCGTCTGATCCTCGTTATCAAAAAGTGACTGCGACTCACATACTTCATGTTCAGCCTGTGATTGAAATGACTCTTTGCTAACAAAGCTTGTATTGCCCAACGTCCTGCGATAGGGAGGAAAATGCAATATATTTATACACATATATAAAATATTTTAGCATTATCATAGGGAATGTTTAGTATATTCCATCACTATTAGGTGCACGATCTCCCTTTTCAAACCACTGTATGTTTTAAAATAACAGGGCAGTCTGTTGACTGTATGAGTTGAAAACCGAAGCTGGAAAACTGCAACGTACATATGTATATCCTACCCTTATTTTGTTTTTTTTAATTTTATTTCATATTCAAGAAAGCTTACCGTCGAGGAGCAACGTGTCGTTGAAGAAACGCCATCGCCTCCATATACCACCATCGGCCAATTTCCTTCGCGGCACTTCCAGAAGGCGCTTTTCCACTTTCTTTTACAAAGTGGTCGCGAAGAGACCTCCAGCGACTCTGGCACTGCTCCACCAGAAGTTTTGAACAAATATGAATTACTAAGTTGTAATAAATTAAAAAATTCTACTTACCACTTGCACCTGTTGCAGCCGCCACACTCATCCAGGCCTTCTCCTTGGCCAACCGGTTTCTGTAACTAATAACACTCTTGTCGAAAAGACAAGGGTGCATTTGCACTGCCTGTATCAAAGTGTTTTCCATTTCTTAATTTAATATATTTTGTTTAAACAATTTTACCACAGACGCGTTGTTGGCACAAGACAAATGAAAATAATCAGCTGACAACTGACAGGGACGGATTTAAGTGCGCCAAAAGAATAAAGTAGAGCGACTCTCCTACGTTGCGGCTTCGCATGCGTTGCGACTGTGGCGCTCTGCATACAAATACATATAATTTACTCAGCCGTCAGTTGAATGCTTCTTCGGAACGCACGTAACGTGCTCTATCTGGCAGGGCTATAAGGCCGGTCCACATAGAACTTTCGCGTTGGCTTTGGCGTTGGCGTCGGTTTGACAGAACGCACGTTAAAAGTATGCTTTCTACAATTAACGCTTGGCAGCGAATGCTTGGGCCACTAAATTAAGATACTAACGACAGATAAATTAATATTTCATATCAATAATTGCATTAAAAACGATATTTCTTGCCCGCACTTGATTAAAAAGGAAAAATATTTCACATAATTTTATTTATTTGCAACAGCTGACGAGCGACGCACGCGAAAAGTTGAGAGTTGGCCATCTTTTTGCTTTGTGTTGGCGCGAGCGTTGTCGAATTTTGGCTGTGGACGGCTGCATTTGAATTCATGTATTCATAGTCAGCTGTTGAAGCGACGCCAACGCCAAGGCAACGCCAAAGTTCCATGTAGACGGGCCTTTATGGTCCATTCAATTTTGGTATTATAAAGTGAAAGTGCGGCTAAGAATGTACAAAAATTTCAGTATGGAAGAAAAAGTGCAACGCCTTGAACGAAAAAAATTCTCAAAAATCTACGCGAATTGAATGTACTATCAAGATCATTTAAACATCTCGGACTCGTCCATCACTAAAAATGATTATTTAAATCTAAAGTATATATTAAATGATATTTAATATTTGCTTTAGAAATGAAATTTCGACAAATTTGTTTAAACAAAAATGTTAAGCGCATATGCAGAATGTGGAAGCGATATTCTTCTGCTTGCGTTTCTATGTTTTTATCATTTATCAGTTTAAGCACATACGATTAAAGGTAAAAAACAAAAAATATTTTTAATTGCGGATCCGAAAGAAATATTTATTAGTTGCATTGAGTTACGCAAAAATTGTGCCGAAAATCAATCGATTGTGCTGAAGGTGCCGGCTGCTTCCGAAAGGGCCGAAAATGGCACAATGCACACTCATTTTCCATCACTGTCACCCATACAATCTCACTATTCTGCTGATTTTGTTTTCCCCTTCCGAGAACTTTTTGCTTCCACGCTTGCCAAGCACCGCTGTGCAAAGCTTTGCACGCGCAGTCGCCCGCGACACATATATGCTGATTTGGGCATCCCTACCATAAGCCATCAAATCCGTTTTTTGTTCCATTCCATGCGCTCAATGTGCTTTCATATTTTGAGCCAAATGAACGCAAATTTTCAACATATCGATAATATAGTATGAAAAGGGCGTATTTCGCATTGTCGCTGAAATTCAAAAAAGCCACAACTAACTACATTTTTTTATTGCATAAAACGATGTTCAGACTTATGGTTCGATGAAATGCATCATAATCAATCAAAAAGTGAATTTTGGAGTTTTAGTTAGTTACGGCTTTTTGTATTTCAACGACCTTGTAAGCTACACCCTTTCCATACTAGACTAACGATATATTGCATTCCAAGTCCCACTCCTCAATAGAATCCTTGAATTAATTCTTATTAGATTTGTTAACTCAGCTGTCAACTTATTCACATGTCATTATATCTTTATTTCGCTGCGTTCTAATTTTAACAATGATCACAAAATTAGAATAAATGCTGTTGTTTTCGAGCTGAAATGCTAATAAAAGGAAACATGGAACTTAATCATAATTGGTTTTGTGAGAAAAAAAACTACACTTATCTAAAAAAAAGTAGAATAAAAGTAGCTATTTTTTTTTCAACAGACCTTTGACAAATAATATTCGATAGTTTTATAATTCTTACCTAATTGAAGGTTATCATTTAACGCGTAAATAGTCAATTCTCTTTATAGCCAGACGTTGAACATTTCCGCTGGAAATATCTATTGAAGAATCTTGCTCTTTGACTTTAAATTACAAAAGAAGGAGGACGTAAGGGGGCAGTTTTAACGTAGTAAAAAATATTGGCTACCTGGGTTGCGAATGCGAATATTCGCAATAACCCTGATCTGTACAATGGATAAGGTGGATTTCATTACTGCGAATAATGCAAAAATTTTGCAAATAATGCAAACATTTCTAAGCAGAACACATGGAAAATATGAAAATACATAAACATATAGAAGTTTTACAAAATCTTCGGAAAACTTTACTGGAACTTAAACTGAAGCTCCATAGCAGGTTTTTCAGGCGTTGCGGCTTTCGAAGTCGTTAAGGCTTTTCAAGCGAGCAACTCCTCAACAAGCTTTTCGTGCTTGAAGTTCCTTTACATTTTGCAGTAAATATTTGCAAACATTCTCATTACAATCACTAATATTTGATTTTCTCTTTTTAAAATTTACAAAAAATATTTTATAGAATAGTTAAAGATTTAGTAGCAAATTATAGGCTGCGTTTCTTTATACATTCCGGATAATCCCATTTCACAGCCGGAATAAACAGAATGCGTATGAAATATACGTCAACGTATCATCAGGAACGTTCTAAAGAATAAATAAACAAAAAAGTTTATTCCAAACGT